ACGAGCTTTTTAATATTAAAGGACTTTGTTATTTTCTAATTGAATCTAAACAAAATTTCGAAGAATAGAAATGAAAAACCCAGAGTGTATATTGGACGCTGTCTGTGTACAACCGGATATCATCACTAACGAACTTAAAAACACTCAAGGATGGGGGATAAGAAGGAAGAACCGGAATCCCAATCCTAAAACTTTAATTCAGTCACTGGAGCCACTTTAGAGCCGTAGAACATGGGCCACAACTCATAATGGTCTGGTTGAACTTCTGTAATAATATTTGGATCTTAAAAATTTATCGAACAAGAATGAGATTGCCAAATGAGTTTTCAGAACACTTCAAAGCTTCTGGAAATCTTTGTGAGGACCTTCCAAGCACTTCTGACGTTTCATGTATTGATATTCTAACATTTGGATGAAGAGGAGGATGAATAGAAGAAACAGGATGAACTTAACTAAACATCAGATAGGTCTTGAGAAATGAGAATGAGAAGACACCTCAATCTCTTTGTCTTATATTTCATTTAGCTTTAACATATTGTCCTTTTATAGTAACCTTCATATTAGTTAGTACAGTTCATAAACCTGATAAACTGGTCAGGTCTCCGAGAGTCTGAGGCATCAAACACAAAAACAAGTCTTTCTTATATGGAGTAGTTGTGTTGACCCGATTGCAATCCAAACATGACTAAGCACAAGCCTATCTACTAACTTCATGTTGGATTTGAGTGGTGTTCACAGGTCTATTCATTACCCGCAGTGGCATATAGTTTGTGAGATGAAATTTTAACTTGAACAGCTTTCTTGGTAATTAATTGATTGTAGACATGTGGGAAGTTACTATTATTTCCTTCATATCTTCTTTTATTACTATCTTGTGTGCAGAAAAATATTTTCTAGACAGCGTTATGGAAAGTGTCGCTCTGGGTATCTGCTTGTTGATTGTAAATTTCAATATTCACTTTTACCTGGATTTATGTGATGTCAGTGAGGCTTTTAATTCTAGAAATCTCTTCTTAGTTTCTTAATTAGTCTTTTCTAGTAAGATCTGTTTGCCAAAGATTTTGCACAGTTAAACATCTTAACTTAAAACTTTCTGTCTACCTTCTGAATCTGCTTCCTATCCATCTCTTTTGCAAGTTTCAATTTTAGCTTAAGAGGGAAGGAACATCACTCCCCCAAGTTTGCTGCTGTTGGTAAATCTAGTGTGTACATTATAGTAATATAGTCCACATTTTTCTTTTCTCTTTTTTTCAAAAAGGGCAGCACTTACTTCCGCATGCTGAGCAATTGTTTCTCGTTTCCAATCTGTGACCTCTAGGTCTCGATGGAGAAACCTTACCATTGTGCTAGGGCCACCGTCACCTTTTTTTTTTTTTGCTTGCTATATTTAACTGTATGCATGTATATATGTTTTTATTTTTCCCTGTAAGATATATCTATGTGTATCTTTGGTGCTGAGTGGAAAACATGCTTTAAAGTATGAATTTGACCTTGTGTTGTTGTCTCTATTTTTGAAGGGACTAGGATATTTGTGAGATATTAGTTGCTCTTTGTTTAGCTTTGGATGTTTTACAACATGTCATTTGTCTGCTTTAGTTCAAAACTGTTCCGGTGCAAAAGCAAGCATTTAATCATCTATCTGTATGGGCTGTTCAGGATTTCGTATGACAATGAGGAAGGATTATTCATTTGTGGGGAATTGGGACATCTTTTTGCTTTGCTGCTTATGCAACAATGGAGATTGCTACTTTTGGGGTCAGATTCTACACGTCTTGCATATGCAATTGCAATTGGTAAACGGTTTGGTCATAGTTGATCTCGAGTCTTGGTTCAGCATGCATTTCATGAGCAAATGGTTGCAATTATTCCGTATGTTGCAACTTAAAAATCTCCTCCCTCTTCTCTATATTCCTTTATCATCTGCATCATTTTGTGTCCTTAAGCTGTTAAGGAAGAAAGAAACTATATATATATATATATATATATATATAGTTTATATATATATACAGATAGAATCAAGTTGAGTTGTTTTGAAGGGCCGTTCGTAAATGATTTTTGTGGTTAACTCTGGTGGGTCTGAACCCGTACAAATATCATCTCTCTACTTTTCTGTATTGCTCGGTCCACACGCTTAATTTGAGCCAACTATTCTTAACATTTTCCCTCAGATTATTTTGGCGGTTATTTAGCTCACCTAAACATTTGAGATAAACAAATGCATAGGTCGGCCGCACGGAATTGGAATGTTAGAATTAAAATTGGTGAAATTGAAGAAAATTTTAGTTCAATTTTCTAGAATTGCTTTTTTTTTTTTTCAACTCTAAAACTCCATTTTCATTACATAGCCCAGTCATTCATCGTGTCAACTATCAACTGCAGCAATGAGGCATGAGGCTGGAATCACAAGCTCTTCCACTGAGTCTGAATAAAAACATTTAAATTGTTTTAAATTGAGTTTGAACACATTTGTTCTAAATTTTAACACAATTTCAACATGTAGAACAAATGTGTTGAAACATAATTTAAGTGCAACGTCGAAAAGATATTTAAACATACTTAAATATAATTTCAATATATTTATTCTAAATTTTAATATAGAACATTTGGTGAAATTTAGAACAAATAATGATGATGAAAATAGATTTCAATACACTTAAATTCAGTTTTAAATAAGTGTGTTGGAAAAGAAATAAACTTGTTACATCCCGTGCATGTTATACCTTTCATCTTCCTCCTTTTCTTATGGAGCTCGTGGAACAACATTGTACTTAGCTTTAGGGTTGCAAATGAATCGAGTTGTTCATGAGCTTGGGTTCGGCTCTCTAAGGGTTTGGATCGGGCTCGTTCGTTAAGCAAACGAACCGAGCTCGAGCACAATTTCTAAGTTTGTTTAGTAAACGAGTCGAGTTCAAATAACGTTAGGTTCGGCTCGTATGGGCTTGTGAACATGAGCTCGTTTAGGCTCGTGAACAAGACTCATATGAGGCTCGTTTATTAGCCATTTATAAGGACTTAATCCAGCCCATACATGATAAGTTTAGACAACCTGGAGGTCCGCTGAAGGTCCGTACGTGCATATATATATATATATAGATTTATAGCCCAACACATATACTTGTATATATATACACTATCTGTTTTATATTATATATTTGTGTTATATATATACACTAATCTGTTTTATATTATATATACTTGTATATATGTGGGCTATGTATCTGTGTGCGCTGTGCACACGGGCTAGTCGATTTTCTGACTAGCCGAGCCCGAGATATAATATATATTTTTTTATATCTTTAAATACTTATTAAATACAACATTAATTGGACAAGACTATACTATTTAATCATGTGCGACTAGCAATAATAAAAGTTTAAAGATTTGAACACTAGACGCAAATTACTAGTATATATAAGTATATTATTTCTCTTTATTTTTCATAAACTATCATATAAATATAATTCCTTAAAAGTTTAGGATTCCACAACTCTAATAAAATACTTGTCCACCACTTTCATCTCTCTCACCGCCCTTCAAATTTCTCTGGCTGTAAACCTAGTTACAATTCCTCTTTTCTAAACCTAATACCCCATTCTACAGTGTACCCAATAAGCTTAATTAGATTCTGAATTTTTGTTGAGGTAAGTGATATTCTTGATAATTTGTGCAGCAGTAGTTGAAGAAGATGTGAAGAAGTCAAAATCTTCATTCATGGCGGTTGCGTGAAGGCTGGGCTTTTCCGGAAGATTTTGAATCATTGAGTGATTTGGTAAAAGTGGGAGTTGACAAGCTTGTGGTGGAACTAGGAGTTTATCAAGTAGATAGTAACTCTGGAGAAATACTAAATAACATGGTGAATTGTTGTTATAGATTCGTGGGATACAACAGTCTGCTACAGCATGATAATATCATGCGCTCTTTATTCCCTCATATCCTTTTTGAAGGGGGGAAATCTTAGGTTTAATTGATCAGATGCTGGCTCGATCTTGGGATATTGTTACATCAGAAAAACTACGTTCATTAGGTGCAACTCGCACTGACATCCAACACCCTTTGCCCATGATGATTATGGAGATGGCTGTGGAGGAAGGAACACAAGTTGTCCACACATACTTCAAGTAAATCATCTATCCAGCATTGGAGAAGGTGGTGATGATTGACAACAGTTGTTGTTCGATGGATGAGTGTGTAACATGTAAGGAGAGGTTTAGTTTTACTATTGGCATGGCATTAGTCACTCGATTGCCATGCTCGCATGTCTATCATGAACAATGTATTGTTGATTGGCTACAAACAAGTCACTTCTGTCGCTTTTCATTGCCAACGGAAATATAAGCGTGTAATAGCCATTCAATTTTTCTATGAAAAACATACTCTGTTGTTGCATTCTTATTCTATAAAAATACATGTATGCAATGTTCATCTCTTCAACCTCAAAAATCTTTTATGTTAAGACATCCATGTGAGGAAACTGAGTACCTTTTGATACGGAACTAATCTACTACGTACAATGAATCCCAATGTTGATGCCAACTCTAGACATATCTGCGGACCTGAGATACCAACTCTAGTAACATTTCTTTTTGAGGTTTTGATTTTCAATTCTGTATACATTTTGAACAAACTATGGTATACCAGGGACTTGGCTTGCTTTGTTATTAATAAGATTTCTTGCCTCGAGACAAAAATAAATAAATAAATACAGTTTTAACATAATTGTTTTAGATTTTAATATAGAGAACATCTACCGTCAACCAACTGAGCTTCATCATACATACAGTCAGCAGTATACGAGTAATTAATTCTCTTTTTTTGATAGGTAAGTAAGTAATTCAACATATCCAATCAAAAAACACATATTTACTAAGCCCTTAATATTGTTCCAACTAGAACCAAACATTACCATGAAATTTGAAGAATGAAAGAATTCCTGCCCTGGAGATCATACATACCCATCAAAAGAAATGGAAAGAACTAAAAGTATATGGGCATCAAAGGAGTAATCAGAATAGGTGCATTCAAACATTTCACATCATTTTGTACAAGTGCAAACTCATCATATTTCTCTGCTACAAAACCTACAGATCTATATACTATTTACATATATACAAGAACTAATGAAATAAATCCCAGCAAACTTCCCTGCAAAACCATTCGCAACCAGGACATGTTTGGATACAACTACTATACAAACAGGCTCAAAAGGCAGCAGGCAACATCCACCCCACCGTCCAGCCAAGGAGCAACCCTGCACCAACAAGACTCAACCCTAATGCAAAAGCAACGGCGAACTTACCAATGTCATATCTGGGATGGAGTTGCTTGCCCTGTTTTCCCTTGGCAGCCTTGTGCCAACTCTTCCGTAGTTTCCTAGTTTTGTAAGGTAGCCATGGTAATGCCACTGGAAAGAGAGTAGATGGCAACTGGTTATTGTTTTTAATCTGGAAGTAAAGGTTTTCTAGCTGCAGGAGTCGGAACCACTGCTTGTAGGCAAAGAGGTGTGAAGCCTGTCTAAAAAAAAGCTTGACGATGTGCTCCTTCTCTGCATAAGCTTGCTTTGCTGCCTTCTCAGCTTCTCTCGCACGTGTTTGTGAATGACAGAGTGCTTCCAATAATTGAGCCTTGCCGAAATTGCTCTCAGAAGCTTGTGCTTCAGTTGTGCCTTTGTGGGTTGTGCTCTCACTGTTTCTAACATCACGACCCAAACCAAGATACAGTTAAAAAGATGTGGCCATCATGGATAGTCCACAAACATTACCATAACTATTTTTTATCCCACATCAAGTCTATTGAGATAATTCATTAAAAATGATTTAAGTCACAACAGGATTTAAGGTTGTAGTATCGGTAGTCTCTGACGCCAGGAAAACCTGATATGCAATGTTAAGCTTTCTGATAGCCCCAAAAAGTTTAAAAGAATAACTAAATAATTTAGAAATAAACAAAACAATAAAAATGAATCCACCAAATAAACGAAAGACACCAAGTAACACATATAGCATTGTCGAAAAAATCAATTTAGGTACTGCACATCACCAGATTATATAATAGTTGGATAAAATATATTAAATAAATTAACAAATATATAATGGTTTGTTGATCGATTTGGTCTATGGACAGTAATTTCTTGCTCTATGCTTGTACTTTACTCTATGCTTAGAGAGTTGGTTTTCCATTGTTGTAATTGTTTTTTGGGATTTTCCCTCTGATGTACATTATACTTGTTCTTGAATAAATTTGTTCTATGGACAGTAATTTCTTGTTCTATGCTTGTAGTTGTACTCTATGCTTAGAGAGTTGGTTTTCCATTGTTGTAATTGGTTTTTGGGATTATCCCTATGATGTACATTCTATAAAAAATATGGAAAGCATGTTACACACAGTTATAACATAATGTTACGAGACATATATGTGCACGTGAAATTGTGACATTAGATTGTTAAAGTATAATATTTCTATATATCTCCTCTAAATTTCCAAAGAAAAATTTCATCTTCTAATGTGGTGGAGGGTAAGTTTTTTTTAGTCGGTGTTGGGATGAAATTGCAAGGAGTACAGGTGAAAGGGAACGAAAAAACAGAAGGATAATTTTTGGTTCTCGGGTGTGTTTGGTAAGGAAGTGTGCCGAAAATAATCAAGGGCAGATTTGGCAAGGTTACCAAAAAGGAGCCAAATGGTGAAGAGACCTCCCAAGTCGACTTAATATTACACTTTCAGCGTCTCTTGGTTGGCCTCCAAGTCAACTCGTAGATTTTGAACCTCTAGTCACACATAATTCATTAAAATTAGAGGATCATTAATGGAACAACAAAAGGTGGTTCTTATTGGACTCACAATTATGATTTTCAACTCCCAACTCCTGATAAGGCCATCTGGTGATTCTCAATTCTCAAGTTTAATAGAAGAAATGTTTACCTAGATTGAGAGTGTGTTTGTATGTTGCCTATTCATTGATAATCAAGTTCTCTGGTTTAAAGACAAATCAAACTACAAAACAAGCTTAATATAGTTGACACAACTATTTTAGTTTTGCCTTTTTGGACAATTTACCTTTTCTAAATTAGAGAACCCAAATTAAAATCTTCTAGAAGATAATGATCAAACTGAAAACTGTAGAAATTTAAATCTAAAAACTGCTACCTGATTCGTTTGTTTGAACCATAATGTGACTGCCTCTGAACTGAGAACCACTGTTCTGCAAATGCATTTCCTGAAGTGAGACTGCCTTTTGTATGAACAGTTGGACTGGAAAGACCATTTTGGACCTTCCAATCTATAGATGAGGGTAAAATCCCATCACAATCAAAACAACCAAGATGAGAATATGGGTCCCTCTTAATATATGTGTTCTGAGGCTGGGGAAGATCACAGTTTTCCATAAAGTCAAGTGATCTTTGTGCTACCAAGGAAGCCAATTCATCTGTGTCTGACGTGCGCCACCATGGCTCAGTTTTTACACTCCCAATCCCAGGATATCCTGAATCAAAGCAAAGCTCATAGGGTTGCTTGGAAACCGCACAATCACCAGAGTCCACCTCCATTAATTCAAAGGATTCCTCCATTTCCTTGACTTTAAGAGGTTCTTGGGCATTCTTACTATATACGGCTTTTAGCTCTTGCTTTATTACTTCAGGATTTGTCTTTACACAGGTTGCAGAGATCATAGAATGAGTGTCGAAGGAGGGCTCAGCATTTATATTGTCATTAACACATGTACCATCAACTTCATTTCCTTGGTGGGCTCCACTAAATTTAGAGCTTGAGCTTGCTACACCAGCTCTGAAGGTCTCTCTCTCTGCCTCCAAAATATTCAATTGCTCATTTGTTAAAACTCTTTGGTACCCATAATTAGGTTGCAGCTGGAGCCACCATCTTGAGTCAGGGGGCAGATTAGAATATGAATGGCTCCTGTGAAGTGGAATGAAACCTATGGCGGAGCTATCTTGCCCATCTTCTGTACTTGCAGGTCCAGCATCAACCTGTTTGGATAAAGAAGGTGCTGATGGGCAGCAAGCTAACTTTGGAGCTCTTTTGGCATCTTCTTGGACAAAGCAACGATTAGCAGTTCTCTGCCAAGCGGCCCTTACTTCTGCGGCAGCCATCACTGACCCATTATTTAACTCATTTTACTGCATAGAGGAAGAATCTCTCAAAAAAGGACGGATAGTAAAGGGTCTAATATCAAACGACAGACATCTGAAAGCATGCTATTGATGAAATCAAATCAGTAAGCACGTTGTAAAATAAGCATAGTCAGAAACTTGATGAAGATAGATTCATAAAGTTACAGTGGATAGCAGGAATGTCCTCCTCTTACTATCACACTCCGGCCCTGAAGAAGAAGAAGCATAAACTATAAGGTTCTACAGCTAAATCAAGTAAAAAAAATCTTAGCACAAGAGTGTTTTGCTCACCAATCTCTTACTAAAAGCAGGCCTTAGATCATCAGAAAATACTCAAGTGGAAGCAAATAAAAAACTTGAGTAAACGACTCTCTTCCTAAGCCTATGACAGTTAACAAAAGAAAGAGAAAGAGAAAGAAAAAGAGAACTTAGTGTAAATAAGGCTTGCAAATAATTGATGTCTTCCTTCAGTAATATAGTACACCTTAGATTCCAAATGATGATCTCATGGGCTCAAGCAAGCTACATTGAACCGTAAAATACTGTAATGAAATGCAATCCAAACTGAAGCTGAGATAGTCCTAAAGCAGGGCAATCCAGCAATTCAAGACCGAATAGCTCCTTATCATGGATTCATGCCCATGAGTTCACTTTTCCTCCTTCCATTTCAGTTTTTCGAAAAATCAACATTTTCTGAATGTTTGGGAAGAAATTTAGAAAATTCCACCAAAAGCTGTATATAAGTGAAAGCTACTAAATGTGAATTTAAGTATGTACTGGGAAAAAATTGCACTGGCATATCTTGATCATTGTGGATTGGTAAATTATTTGCTAATTAGGGGTGATGTATTAACGACCCTAATAACTGAAGGAGGATATACAAGGTTATTCAGCGCTTATGCCAGCCCAAAGTGCAAATTCATCCAAGACTAAGTTAAGTAAGAAATAGATGCAGTGCTTCTGAAGCTCAAAACTTGCAAACTAACCCAAAGCGACCATTTTTAACTCCTATTAATTTTTTTTTTAAAAAAACAAACGGACATGTACCTTATTCTTTTAACAAATTAGGTTCACAAGCAAAAAGACTGAAATGAATTAAATCGAAACACTTAAGAAACCTACATTAGAGTATGATTAGGGCAATTAATTGAAATGCTTAAGAAACCTACATTTATTATCCTTGAAGTTGCTAGAAGCCAACCAAACCTGAAACCATTAGTCTAAAATACAAATACAAATAGATCAATCATCAACTGGTCCACATCAAATAACATTAGACCAAAATTGAATTCCATAATTTTCTTAGTCAATATCTGATGATGATTACTCGTAGTAATAATAACAACAAGAGTCACTTTGTTATTTAGATAATTTAAAAATCTTTCATTTCCTTTACAAAAAAAGGAAAAACCAATTGACAGTTTTACTTTTAAAGCCACAAAATAAATACCAAGATTAACCTAGACCCACAAAAAGGATCAGCCGTAATAACCAAATCTGAAAATAAAAAATCATTCAAAGTGAAACACCTCCTCAACCATGTACATAAAGGTGGATCATGCATGCAAGTCAACTCATATTTTCAGCATAAAAAAGTATACTTACCTCAGACCATATAACGATTCTACATGACCCAAAGAACACACACACACACACACATGCACAAAAAGAAAACAAAAGGCAACAAGCAGAATTAAACACAAAACACAAACTGTTCATGTGTGTGTGTGTGTGTAGAGAGAGAGAGAGTACCCGAGGGAGAAGAAAACAACAGCAGAATTGGAATTGGAATTGGAATTGGAATTGGATTGGCTGTGAAGGGGTGGGTTTAGATCTGATTGAATGAAATGAAGAGTTATTATTAGTAGCTCTTAACATCCAAACACACAAATTTTTCACTTTCTTTTTCTGTAATTATACATGTATCTTTTCCTGTCGGTTTCTACCTTTCAGCGCCATACGTTTACGACACCGTTTGGATATGTAACGGGATAACAGCTTGTTCACAAAACGCGCAAAGCCTGTGTACTCTTCCTGGAAACGGTGTCGTGCTCTATGAAGATTGATTGAAGACCACCTCGTAGTTCTAACGTAACTTTTATACACACACACACACACACACACTTGGATGTAAGTACGTATAGAGAGAGAGAGTGAGAGAATTGTCAAAGTGGAGAGCATTTTGAGACTATCCGGATGGATGGATGTCCAATTATTTGTCAATTGTCATGAGTCAGCAGATGAAGGCTGCAAAAGTACGGTCAGAAGGGACCTCTAATTCAATAGATTAATCCCTCTTTATTTAATGGAATAAATTAATTAATATACAAGAGAAGATGGACTTCGTCACCACACAAACATCACCTACCCTTTCGGCGGAGGGAGGGGTAGGCCCAAAATATATATTTTTTATTAGTATGTATAAAAAAAAATTAAATTAGTACACTTAACCCCGCAACATATGAAAGGAAAATAAAGACTAGGGCACCCACCGCACATAAACTCTCTCACTCTCTCTCCTTCCCCTTGTACCTGTTCCAGCAGCATGTCCACACCAATTCTACTCCGTCATAATTCCCTTGTACCTGTTGTTGTTGTGGTTGTCATTGCAAATAGGGTATGTTTATTTTTTATTTGTTTATTTTTTTTCCTTTGGATCATGGAATTTTTAGAATTTTTTTTTTTTTGACTAATTTTTTAATTTAATTTTGCTGGTGTAGTAATTGAATCTGATCAGTTCTGTGTATTAAAGAATAATAATTTGTTAGTGCTTAATTCTATATGAGTTGGTTTTAATGTTGATCCATATAATTTTAGGGAATGGTCATTTGAAAAATAACAATCATATTTGTTATATGTGTTAATTCCAGATAACTTATATATGAATATATGATGATTTATGCATTGTTTTATAGGTTGTAATTTTATTTTTTAGTGTGTGGGGTTTATATTGTTTAATTTAATTGATTCAAAGTAGAGGTGAGGCCCGTGAGGACTCTGCAATTACTTACCGAAAAGGAGAAAAGACTTCTTCAATTATGAAGCTCTATTATTCTATTTTCAAAGAAATTTATGTGTAGAAATCTGTTAAATGTTACTCAATAAAATAAGTGATTTTGGACTGAAAATATGATTTTGACCTGGATACATATCCAAACTACCCATCAGATATTCAGATATGACAACATCAAAACAAAGCATATTGATGCATATATTGCAGTGCTTTATTGTTCTCTGATGTACGTACATTGTGCCCAACATGGCAAAATTTGAATTTTCTTGTGATTTGGCTTCTGAAAGAATATCTGCAAATGGGAGTTTTATTGTAGAAATATAGATTATTAAGCAAAATGTCAAGTTAGTGTTCTTTTGCAGTACTTAAGCAAAATATCAGGTTAGTGTTCTTAAGCAAAATCGTTTTTTCAAGTTGCGTTCATGATTGTTAAAGTAAAAAGTCCTAAAATCACTTGCAACTAGCAAAAGAGGAAATCTATTTTTTGAAAAATATTGCAAAAATAGATTTCCTCTTCTGCTAGTTGCAAGTGATTTTAGGGCTTTTTACTTTAACAATCACGACCGTAACCTGGTTTTTTTTTTTTTTTTTTAATTTCTTTTAATTCAGGATGTCAAAGCAAGACTCAAATACTTAAAAAAGTGTTGTCGATGTCGAAACTTGGAAAACAAAATCTAAGCTCACGGACTTGACTGTCACGGTACACTAATTCCATTTAAGTACGTTGTCGTTGTCTTATGCACAATGTACATGCACACATTTTCAAGATATAAAGTGTTTAGACAATGCACAAACGCACAATTTATTATTTATCTCTGTCATATTTGACTAAATATAGGCCAGTTATTGTTTTGTAAACAAATTCGCCAAATTTTGGCTAGATATATTTTTATATGCTTCTAATTGATCATGAAGTACTTTTGATTTAAAATATTATTATATTATATTGGTAAAACTGTTAATACTACGGCCCCCTCTTACATTGAATCCTGGCTCCGCCCATGCCTTTCCGCATTTCCCAAATGGATTTCAACATTTTTTAGAGTTGGTTTGGTTAGCCGAAAATTGATGGTGAAAAGTGAAATGAAAGAAAAGAAAATTATATTTCTATCATGCATTTGGTTAACATGATTTTTTTTGTAAAACTTTTGTAGGAAAATATTGTTTCGTTAGTTTGGTTAGCAAGAAAGTGAAAAGAAAATAATTTATATGTCAAAACTATCTTTATGAATTCAATACTAAGTACCATACATCATGCAACAAGCATAATAAAAAATATAAATAATTATTTTATGAATACAAATATATGTGCTTGCATATACATAGAGTCCTAATTTAAAGAGTCAGAAAATTGTAACTTAATTAGGAGTCCTAATTTAAAGAGTCAGAAAATTGTAATTTAATTAGGAGTCCTAATTTAAAGGGTTAGAAAGTAGTAATATAATTAGGAGTCCTAATTTATCGAAAAGAAATAACTCTTTTTGTGAGTCCGAAAGAGAAGGAAAAGAAATAATTGACAAGGGTATAATTGAAAATTAACCTATAATGATACAACTTTCACGTTAAACTAAAATTTTTATGTGTTTTATGGAGGGACCATTTTGCGGAAAATAAAATAATCAGTTGCGGGAATATCACTTTTTTAAAAAACAATTAACTAGTTGACTCTAACCAAACAAACACTTAAAGATCTACTCAGAGTTCATCTTGTGGACCCCATGCCATGTAAGAGACCTCACTCTTAACTACAAGGAGATATCAAATTATACAATCCGACTATTATTTTGGTTATTATCATCATCTGATTCTGTCCAAACTATGTACCTACAAATAAATGAAAGGAAAGGTTGATCAATCTTTGCACTTCAATTATTACTTAAACTAATTCCGGTACGTGACTTAATGATATTTTCTCTCATTTCAACATGAAAAGTAAAGATTTGACTCTTTTCAAAAATGCCTTGGCCCTTGGGATGTTAATTGGGAATTTTTTATTTACCAAGTAAAGTCAAACTTTTTAATTTTTTAATTTTATAATTTTGAAAAATTTTACTCCAATAAATAAAGTAATAGAGTAAATAACATATATAAAACAATAAAATACAACAAAATTTAAAATAACATGATTTAAGAAGACATGAATCAAAATAATGGCGCTTTTACTAGTAATTTCTCTATCTCCTAAAGTGATCTCCTCTCTGCATAAAGACAAACGGGTGCTTGAATTTCTTTGCACTTCAATTATTACTTAAACAAATTCAGGTATGTGACTCAATGATATTTTCTCTCATTTCAACATGAAAGGTAAAGATAGACTCTTTTTAAAAATGCCTTGGGATGTTAATTGGGAATTTTTTATTTACCAATTAAAGTCAAACTTTTTAATTTTTTAATTTTATAATTTTGAAAAATTTTACATCAATAAATAAAGTAATTGAGTATATAACATACATAAAACAATAAAATACAACAAAATTTAAAATAACATGATTTAAGAAGACATGAATCAAAATAATGGCGTTTTTATTGGTAATTTTTCTATCTCCTAAAGTGATCTTCTCTCCGCGTAAAGACAAACGGGTGCTTGAATTTCTTGCCAATAAATGAGGAGAAAAAAAAAAAAAATGCAAACTTTTCAACATTAATAAACTTTATTTTCTAAGCTGATCAGAGGGGACGACTCATGCCTTTTAGTGCCTGTTTTCATGGTATCATGTCATAATCCATGCTTAGTTGGAAGTTCCAACGAAATGAAAAGGCCCACGCATCAATTGAAAGTTTTTAGGGAAATGTCTGATTCAAGTTAGGTGATACCATTCATTTTAATAGCCCCGTAAATGAAATTAATTAGACTATAGACCTTTTCTTATTAGATTAAGATTTTCCATAGACCTAAGTCTTAGATGCTTAAAGCAAACGATTTCTTTTGACATTCTAGCACTGCTAGGGTGTATTCGATCCTATACTCGGTTTTGAACACCAAGCTCTATACCTGAACATCAAGTCTCAATTGTGGCTCTTTGCTTTAAGAAATTTATCTTCAGCTTGATGATTTTCAATCCAGATTGGACCGAGTTTCATAAAGTTGCATTCAGTCTTGTGAAAAATCAATTTGAACGAAGGTTTGGCCTGCCCGGTAACGCCCCTTAATTCTCAATTAATTGTGCATAAACACCACTTCCTCCTTCAAAAGCCCAGGGAAAAGCATACACAGTTGAAAGAAAGGATCAAATTCACTTTTAATGGGGTTTATGGCTTGAATCAAATTGCTATTCACCTACAACATTTTAGACTGCTGCATATACATTTCAGATCCTATGAAGAATACAACCCAAATCTACTTTTTAGTCGAGCGACAGATACAAAAAAAAAAATCACCTTCTGATATATCATAACTTTTACGAAGTTACACATGTACATCCAACTTAAATCATCAAAGCCTTGTATCCCAATTGCTTGGACTACACTATACAGTCTCGGAATTTAGATCAACTAGACCCTTCTCTAGCTATTTAACAAACAATTGTGTATAGACAGATGACAATTGTTTTCTTTTTATATTACACGAGCGAGTATGAAAAATGCAGTTGCAGTTGACACCACTGCAAAAAGTAACCAAGCAACTCTCAGCTGGTTGTAGCTTTTGCTTAAGGAAGACTTCCTAGAAAAGATGACACCAGCCATGAAAACCAGTCAATCAGCCGTTTCAAAATCTCTTACAACAAGTAGCCATCATTGATTTCGACAGAATATTTCACCGAGCTCAGCTTGGTCAAAATAGGAAATGTAGGAGGGATGAGTATATATTGTTCATTTCTTGGTAGAAAATTTCGGCCAAGGAAGAAATTGTTTGATTTACAGAACAGGATTAATTGTTCTGTTTTGGCTTCTTGGAGCAATTTGCAAAAAGACCTAGTATTTCCCTCCTTGTGACACGCTTCAAACAAAAAAATACAGGTCAACAACTGAGTGATTGCTGCAGCATTCATGGGAGAAGACAGCAACATTGCATTTGTAGAATGGTCACCAACCTTGCGTTGTAGAATGGTTTCTCAGAATTCAGTGTTCCCCATCTTCTGAGCTTAGGCTGAAAGATTTCCAGCAATTCTGATGGAACTCGTATAAATTTATTCCTATTCCCTGTACAAGATATCTTTAAGCTGAACCAGCTTTACAGAACCATCTCCCCCACATGAAAGAAAACCATGGGAAACAACTTGAATATCCGTAACAGCGGCCTGCAACAATTGCACAAGATGATTAGTTCATGTGCATAGCTAAATGTGATATATGTTTCAGAACCATATTTTCAGCAAATATTGACATATTGAGAGTTCCAATTTGAATGATAAGAACGATTACCCTCACAACTCCACCAAATCCCCGGGAGCTTGGTTGCATAAAGGTGTGTCTTTCATGCAATTTTGACCAATGGTACACTAACTTGGCTCTCTTGGCATCCCAAAGTTTAACATCTCCATCTTTGCTTCCCGTCAAGAAAAAACTGGTATTTGGGATGGTAGATATTTTGGTAACATCTCCTTCACTCAGATCAATTAAAAACATTAGAAGAAAATATATGATATCCGGTTAAAGTCTGTAAAATACAATGTTTTTAGTACCTAAATGAGCCTTCGGTAGATACCAAAGCATCCCATTTGTATTCTGGTTCCCACTTTTGATCTGCAAATCAGCTGTTGATGATGCAATGATGTTTTGCTCACCACTATCAGAATGTTTGTGCCTCTTTGTTCTTCCAGTAGCTATATAACGGAAGTCATGAACTCCGACATCACCACCTCTTCCGCCAGTCACAATAAGGGGTGAAATAGAACCACTTCCTATGTCATTATCAAACACAGAAAGAGAGCAGGCACCACCTATACACACACAGAGAGAGAGAGAGAGAGAGAGACAGAGGCAGCTATTTCAGTGCACAATTCATCAACACCCCACTGTTGGAAAGGTTAAAAAAGGCAATTATAGAACACTCAATGTGCCAATTATGATGCACGAGGAGATTTAAAGTATACGATTATATTGATACACTAATACAATAGCATATATATATTTACAATCCACATTACTCCTAGTCAATTTTCTTTTGTCGGATTAATTTTGCCCCTGGTTCGCATTTCTTAAATATGACAAACTTAAGCCTGAGACTCCAACCGCCAGAATCCTCTGCAATTCTGCTTTTGCCAAAAGTGTTCTTAAATGAAGTAAAAATGAAAACACTTCTAATTTGAGAGTTCAAACCCACTTCATTAAAATCCTGTAAAGCTTAGAGAGGGTGGGGGGAGCCCTATTTCACCAAATGCAACTCAACATTTTATAGAGAAATAAACCTTCATGACACATGATGGAAGCTCGAGAGGTTGAGGGTGGAGCAAGCATATCCCATATAACCACATTCACACCGTTGGAGCTATGACCAGCAGCAGCAATGATTGATCCACTTGCAGTAACGTAAGTGACATCCCTGCAACCAATATTACAAAAGGTTATTGAACTAACTAAAAGCTCAAACAACTACAAATATGACACATTAACCACAGAGATCCTCCTCTGAGAACAACCTATAAGTTCAGATTAGCAACTGTCTTTCCATGCATAAGAACAAATCTAATTGGGTAGCATTATGGATGTAATTTATCAATTAAAAGGTTGCACAATAGAATCTGAAAAAGCATACAAACTGCTAATTATGCTTCTCTTTTTAGTGGACAACAATTCAAAATTTTTAAATAAATAAAAAAGGAACATGCATGCTCTAACATTTGGACGCTTTTAACATTTGGACTACCCAGGAATAGTGGTACGGGATAAAAATGCACAGAGTATCCAGGAAATGTACCAGTAGAGGCTCACTGATCTCAAACTTACTATTACCATCACAGCAGTAAACTAGCATAACAAAGAATAATAGAACAAGACGATATAGCCATGCCACTGACAAGAAATGCCTACTAATTAAATGAAATCAATCTCATCATTTTGGACAATAACAGATGCTATTTTCAACAAGCTATCAAATTTCTCCGGATCCAAACATCAGTTTTCAAGAGAATTCTGGAACCAACACAGCCCAAATACAACAGAATTTTAACCAAAACCAGCTAATAAATGTTAACAAAGAATACATACGATGCATGATTGTTAAAGCAGAGAGATGATTCTGTTGGGCGGATGTTGCTCCTTCCTCCTACCTCAAGCTGCCATGTGCATACAGTTCCATCCAATGCAGCAGTCGCGAATCTCTGTCCATAGTGGTCAAACTGCACAGCTGATATTGATGCAAGCGCATATGGTGGCGGGACATTAGCAGCAGGAAGTACTCCATATGTTGCAGTAGCTTTGTTCTTTCCAAACTGCATTTATCATTCTGTTTTAGCTATCATATTCAACTAATTTTGACACAGAGCAATACCAACTCAAAGATTGCAATTATTGATTATACTTTTCAATATTTTTTTGTCAGGCATTGTATTTAAGACCATAATTTGTATAAATTTTTGACCATTTTTTCCATGATTTATTTTAATCTACAAATAGTAACAAAATAATGGGGTAGTAAATCAGGACTAGTGCAGTGCAGTTGGGTTGGGTCTTTACAGTAGGAGGTGTACCACTTGTAATGGGAGTATCTGATGGGCCTGGCCCAGATGAGAGTGGAGACACGTGTGTGTGAGAGAGAGAGAGAGCTCTAGTGGCTTGGTGTAACAGGCGGGTGCTTCGCGATCCGACCCAAAGGCTTAAACTGTTAGGTGGGGGGGCTAACACTCAACCCATATGTACCCATCCACTTTTCCATCCGGATCCGATGTGGGACAAGTCCCCACTTGTAACATTCTCCCCCACCCGAACTCGCAACGCCCTCATTGCGGTCAGGCCACCCTGCCAACCCGGGGTGGTGCACCCGGACACATCTATGTCGGGCACTTGGCGTAACACCAGATCAAGGACTGGGTCTGGCTCTGATACCAACTATAATAGGCGGGTGCTTCGCGATCCGACCAAAAAGCTTAAGCTGTTAGGTGGGGCTAATACCCAACCCATATATACCCATACACTTTCCCATCCGAATCCGATGTGAAACAAGTCCCCACTTGTAACACTTGGCCTGAAAGGTGCGACTTCCTGCCGAAGGGTCTGGAGGTGCATAGGAGCATTAAATGATATCGCCTGTCAATTAGAACGGGGCTTTATAGCCACATATGGGGTTAATAGAGACACCTGGGCCACATGATCCAGGGCCTATCGCAATGCAATGGGGTATTAATCGATGCCCATGGCTCTTATGTAAATGAATCCACATGCATGGGCTGGTATGGTGACACTATTCTCGGGTCCAGCAGGTAAGCTACGTGCATGCCATGTAAAGAATGAAAATATCTTTTAATGTCTGCCAAACTGGCCAAGATGTGTTCTGATACCACATGCCTGGACCAGAACGGAAGCCACCTCAAATTACCCCCAACTCTAGCGACCAATACATGCACTTCCAGAATCCCAAAGCCTACATCCTGACCCAAAGGTATAACAGATCTGTTTTCGTATGGAGCAGGATCCCCCTAGGCCCTACCTCCAACCGAGACAGGCATTTCAGAGTCAAGGTGCTTCCCATGAGTGCCCCATCAAGGCAATGAGGGTTCCTGGAACATGAGAGTGCTGTTCCTGCACACAGGTCCCCATACGAGTGATTCTTGGAGAACTTCAGCTGTGACCCTGGCTGAGGGTCTGTGTCAGTTCATCACCAAGTGGTATTGGAATGATAGAAGGCACGAGAATTGGCATGTGTCATCCACATGGATTATGGCAATTTTCGGGTTGCCAACATAGAGCCAATGGAAGGGATAAGACTCCAGTGTGCAATCATAATACAACCTTAGTCATGTCTAGTGTTCTTGTACATTCAGAGTCCATCCAATAGTTGAGGCTCAAAATGGCCATAAATCCAAATATTAAATATGCATCATAAAGATGGTTTTTCTAACATTCACCAATTCATTCATTAGTTCTTTCTTTCTAATGTCTCGGACACATGGCTGACATGACCTCATTATTCTCATTCATCTAAGCATGGTGTAAAAAATTCATCATCATGACAAGAATTCCCCTATTGACCTAGAAGCTCAGTCAATTAAATTACATTTGCAAATTGCTAGTGGATTTAAATAAGCTTTTAAAGTAGACGGTTGTTAACGTGGTATTAAAAAGGACAAGGTCCTATGTTCAAATCTCACCGTCACCTTGATAATTAAATTGAAACACATGTTAGACCAAAAGAAGGCTACACGTGAGCGGGTGTGTTAGAGAATTTAAATATTAAAGTTACACCGTCTCTAATAGCTTAAGCTTTTAGAGTAGATGGTGATTTACACAGAAAAGGAAGGTGGAACTCCACTTGTGTTGTGTTCTTTACACAGCCGGACTCCGCCCGTGTTCTTCACACAGCCGGTCCCAACCCCGGATAAAGGAGGAGGGTTGCATCAGGTAGCTTGACTGCCAGCGTAAAACTTTGTCATGACCAATATGGACATGAATCGGGCTCTACGCTTTGGAAAGTAAAATTCCTAGTAACATGAAGTTACAAGAAAAAAGTTTGGATGGTAAGAACTTCCAAAATCTAAATGATGTAGTTGCTACATGAAAAAGGACCAGTGATATGAATATAGTAACAATCTTTCACAGCCAATGATTCATACCTCCCATAAGTATATGTGTGTGTTGCTAGATCCAACCAAGAAGAAAGGCCTAGAAGGGTGACTAGAGAATGCCCTTGTATTAGTTTTTTCCACAGTGGCAGGTGGATCAACAAACTCCTCAAAGTCCTCTTGAATTCCCCAACCAAGGCCGGATGTGCCAATACCAGCATAACCTGGAACTCCGTATGATCCAACACTGGTTAAGTCTCTCCCTGGTCTTGCCAATGAATCTACACCTACAGTTGCTCCACCCAACCCAAGGTGTGCCCCTTTCTTGGTCCCAAGACCAACCCCAGGAGAAACACAAGTAGGAACTGGGGTAGATTCTGACCCAGCCCACCCATTCTGTGGCCAATCAGCCTCCGCCAAGATATAATCAGACTGATCTCTCAAAGGTAGCCCATCGTCCCAATTAAAGAATATTATCCCCTGAATCAGATAAAATATGATGTTACATAAAACAAAAACAAAATGGCATTTAATACTCAAGATAACATCAATAAACAACCACCAAATAGAAAGGGGAAATAAAAGAGGACCGAGTGTTGCATGTATTACTATTTTACTAAAACTAAAGCCTTCTACCTGATAAAACAGTCATTAATACTGGTCTACCAAAATTTCAAAACTTGGTGTCTCCTAAGTGAAATGCAAACAGTCTATCTTGCTAGCAGTTTACCCATTGAGGTTGTTTTAATAGGAAACAGAAATTTTAACAGCATAAACAAATTCCAGAGCCTCTAAAATACTGCCTAATCATTCCTTTTTGAAATTTTATCTTCCCCACACACACCCCCCACCCCCCCAAACCACCCCCACACCCACACATAAATTAATAGATTCAACTCAATGAAATCATGCTAACCAGAAAAATTGCTCCAACTAAACTTTAACTAGCTCTAGATTACTTGACTGGTGCAATTAAGTACAAAATGCAACTTTGGAAAAGTGGAGGACACTGATGGGACATTCCATTTATATGAAAAAAGAGCATTTTGCAAGCATCCATGTTATCAAATACTTCAGATGAGAGCTAGAAATTATGCAGAGGGTCTGACCTTTCGGTTGCTGGCAACCGCAACTTCTTGTTGATCAATGGAGTTGATACACAATGCCTACTCAATCAAAGAAGATTTATCAATCAAATACAGTAAGAAACTAGAGATTTATGATTGCAGACTGTCATATGCAATAAATGATTTCAACAGAGAAATGATGGAAGAAGAAGAGATACCTCCAAAAGTTCTCCATTTCTCTTACATATTTCTTTAGGTTTCTGGAAAGGAATGACCTCCTTCAAATGGAGTGTATCCTTCCGCACAGAACTTAGCAAAGAATGATCATCTGGAGACAGATGCCCAACAGATGATCCAGCTCCATTACTAGCAAAAATATTGCCATGTTTACCGTCTTGATTACAAGTTTCCTCAGCTTCACATTCCCCCATTATGCATGTATATATCTCACTCCATCCTTTGGAGGGCTTCTGCTTAATATATCGTAACCACTTAGAATTTTCTTCTGTGAAACCTCCACACAAAATTTTAGAATCAGCACAAATATACCACAGTGTTTTTAATGCTGACAATTCATTTTCACTGTTCATTTGGTGCAGATTATCACTACCCTCACTAACATGCTTATGGAGAGCTCTGGGTTGGGATCGACTGAATTCTTCTAACGATAATAGAGTAGGGGTACTTAATCCATTTTCTGCTTTCTGCTGCAGGAAAGATGCAAGCTGCTTTGCATGGTAAGAAGAAATATGCACACAAGTGGTCATCAGTGACTTGGCCAAAACAACTGAAACCAATTCCATATGTTTTTGTGTATTATTGCCTTCAGGTTTCGGAGTAGCAAAATTATGTAATGAGGAAAGTCTACAATTGGGACCAAATGAATAACTGTCATTGAGTTTTTCAGACAATGAATTCAGATGATGTTTCAGAAAACCAGACACATTTCCCCACAAAGAAGCCTCCAAGATTTGCCATCTCTCCGCTTCTGTTACCGAATACATTATATCTTCATCTTGTTCATGTTGAGTTGGCTTAGTGACCTGAACATAACCTCCAATATCATCAACCAATATATTATGAAAGAGCAACTCGGCAATTTGGTGGAGGACTTTTTTCAGATCTTCCATGTTGATTTCATAAGAAGCATGCCCCTTGGTATATGTGATTATAAGAGGTTTCACAATCAGAATTAGACCTCTAAAATTTCTTTGAGTCCAAGCTGATGCAAAATAAACATAAAATTCAAATAAATCAAGAATAAGAAAGGGTATCTTGACGAAATCTTCCGCACAGGAAACAGAAAGCAACTTGAATGTGGCTCTTAAACTCCACAATGACCATATGAGATCCCGCGTGTAGAATCCCCAAGCAGTTAACCAGCCACATCTATTTTCAACAGTCAAATTATTCTCAGTGGAATAGGAATTCAATTGAGAGCAAGTTTTACTACAGGCAATAGTAAATCTTGAAAATAAACATGAAATTTCTTCAGTCGTCTTCAGAAGTAGCTTGTGCAGGATAGGATACAAGAGGGAACTGTCAGATGTGTTGCTTTTATTGTGTGAGGTATAATCTTGCAACGTATGGTATCCAATAAACACTAACCCATTATTGCACAGGAAAATTATTATCTGTAAAAGGAGAGGAGAAAAAAAAAAAAGAAGATAGGGAAGAGAGAGAGATATCAGTCCCTTCTGGAAAACAAAGCACATGCATCAAAGCATATGAGGTAATGAGATGTATATATAGGGGTTCACAAATACATACCATGTTAATTATATGGAGAGGGATCAAAGAGAACTTCTGCTCAAAAAATGCCAGCCCTGAGGTTAGCTTGTGTTGAAAATTTTCAAGTAATATCTTGTACTGATGAATCTCAGACTCAGAGAATGTACATGCTCCAGTAGATGCCATATTGGTGTCTGGCCAGCTTGGATGTTCCCTCCACAATTTCGAGACATACTTCATCGCTAAATCTAGTTTAGCATCTGACTCCATAGAAAAAGTCACATCAGCAGATATCCAATTAGAGGAGGAACTATCGGGGCATGGCTTCAGCATTTCATTCAGAAGTTCATGGTTTGCAATCTCTGATACATTGTGTTGATCTGAACCCCCAAAAATGCTCAGAGGAGATGAAAGGCAATCCAACGCCTCAAGCTTATAATAAATGGCAGAAAAAATTATTCACAATAGATAAGTGAGACACACACACAAATAGTGAGAGAGAGAGAGAGAGAAAGAGAGAGAATATTCTCACAAGTAAAGGGAACATTTTTACAGTATTCCATTTAATGCATAAGATGCTCAAGAAAGTAAATTTAAAGAACAAAAAATTGGCTTGATTTCAAAGTAGAGCACTTGGGACCCGGCATTGTCAAGTTTTACTTTTCGTAGAGTCCTATATTATGTTCATTTTTTTAAGGTTAGTATATAGCTGCTCAGTTCTATATATTTTATATTTTAAAAGGCAGAAGTTAATTTAATAGTTCCAAATCTGCTAGACATGGTGGCCTATGGGTTGTCTTCTTGGTGAAGTTCTGGTATTGAGTCATCATTTGTGGACTTTAGGAAGTCTATTTGGTTACACTAGTCCAAGTATCAATTTCAAGAAACGGAGTCCAAGTTCTATTAGTGTTAGAAAATCCTGAAAGTTTATTAATAACTATTCCATGGTTTCAATTCAATACAGAATAAGGTTTTAATTAAGTTTCCCAACAATTTTGCTCTTCGAGGATTGTGATATGGAATTCCAACCTTAAGTCATCTCCAAGTAAGTGATTGAGTGATTCCTAACCAATCCTTATAGGGGTGCACAAAAAAATTGTCGAACTTGTACACCGAACTGGTCGGTTTGGTCCCAATTTTTCACTGTTTGGTCCAGTCCTGGTTCCAAAAACATGGAATTGTTAATTAACAGTTCGGTTTGGGTTTGGGGTCCTACAAAACCAAACCGAACCGAACTGTCGCTTAAACATATATATATATATATATAATAGCCGACCCCAAGTAGATGGGAAGAAGGCTTGGTTGTTGTTGGATATAATATATGTAATAGAAATTTTATACGATCATAGGTTTCCTAACCCTAAGTTCCCTTCACTTCATGATCTCAGCCAGGCCTCATGCCTCCTCCTCTCTCTCTCTCTCTCTCTCTGTTCAGTGTTCACCGTCACAACACTAGATCCTCCTTCAGCCTTGCCGCCATCGATCCTCTCTCTGTCTCGCTGCCGTTGATCCTCCATCTGCCACCGCTACTCTCTCAATCCCTAATCTTTCTCCAACAACTGGTTCAATATCCTTGGTCGCTATGAGAGAATGTCAGCTGTGCATAGGTATCCTATCTTCAAGGCCTCCACCGGTTGGTCTCTGGTCCAGTTTCACGAAATTTCGGAGCAATAGCTCTTGACCCCTGGTTCTTCATTACTAATCCTCACCCAGCTCACCAAATTTTCTTCTGTTTTCCTCTGGATAATCATCTTCAACAGGCTTCTTTCTAGAACCGTAGAACCGAACCAACCCCTCATGGTTCGGTTTGGTTCCATTGGTTTTCACAGTCTGGTTTGGTTCCAATTTTTATAAAAACCAACTATGGAAATATTGGGACCAGTTTGGTTCCAAAATACTCCTAAACTGATCCAATCCAAACTGTGTGCACACCTAAATTCATCTACATTTCTTTTTATTCTCCTTAATCGCGTGAGGCTCTTTGAGCTTCTTATAGTCTCCTACCTCTTCTACCATTGCTCTTTTCTATAATTCTTTTTGCACTTTAAAAGCTTTAAGCATTATAACTAATAGTAAAAGGAATGGAAGAAGGAAATATTGTTCAAATAACCATGGGAAACAGGTACAATAGGCGATATGAATGAAATTGATAGATTATTAAGAGACATCAGGGAACTTTGATGAAACCAATATAAAACAAAAGAAATCTTGTATTGCAAACTAACATATTAATGTTATAAAATAATTAGGGAAACTTGTCAGGAAACTTGTTTCGAGGGCCTAGGAAAAAAATTATGAGAAGTGTTTTTCTAGTAAGTTTTAACTAGCTTAAGCAAATTTGACTAGATAATATCTGGTAGCATTTCAGAACTAATAAACATAAGCAAACATAAACTTTTTCTACAAGTAAGAAAAAAACAAGAAATATCTTAATTTTAACTTCTATGAAACACGGATATTCAAATATATGGCCAAATGACTTTACTACGACTCAAATTAGAAATATCAATCAGAAATAAACATATATACTTGAATGCAATTAGAGCAAGTCTCTATCCAAAAAGAATATATAACATGCAATGAGAACAAATCTCTGTGCAATATCATGACTTATTTCATCAGCATGCAAGTTATAAGGTATAACACAACATGGATGTGATGCAACCAAAATAGATCCGAATCGAGTAGGTAATGGGTGTCAATATTTCTGAAAGTGCGAGATTTCAAAAAAGGAACTTCGATTGAAACATCATATTATCATTCAGCAATTATAATCCAGGTAAGAAACAAAATATTTTTAGATAAACTTACAGGCATGCCGCATCTGTTTAAGGCAGTTGCACTCATCAGGATTGCCCACCTACCAAGGATTGCAGCATTTTGCTCCCCTACAGCAATTTTCATGCTATTTTTGGTTGCCAACATTAGGCAATACTCACCGATGCTTGGATCTAAAAATGAAGCATGATCGGATAGGAGAGCTGACTTATTGCCCACAGTAGCCATTTGGACACCAACCATGTTCAGAAAAGATTGTGAGTAATTCCCTGATACCCACTGCAAATGAGAAGAGTAAACATAAGCCTATAACATGCCAAAAACCAATTAAATGTACATATATGAAGCTATACAAGGAACACATTTTCAACAAACTTAAATCCGTAACGAAGCACCTCCAGAAAGCTTGAGAGCCAATAATCGCCTTTTTCAATTGCAGATGGAAGCATGAACTTTGATATAAGATTACGTTCTAATGGCCCCCCATATCCATCAACAAGCCGACAAATTACAAGAGCAAGCTGTTCATCTCCAAGGTTTTTTGCACAAACATTTACAGCAGAAGAAGTATCACCTCCAAGCAAAAAGAAAGCAATAGCCAGTTCCAGTTGATGTCTTCCCATTAAAACAAACGCATTTTTCAAAGCAGCTGCCTTATTTTTATCCTCCTGTGACAGCAAGTTGATGTGACTGCTCAGAATACAACAATATAAAAAATTTAAGCCAATTTATTTCTGGCAGTCATTATATGCACGATGAGCAAAATATAATCCAAGAACTCAGAAAAAAGAAAGTAAAGTTACTTAAACAGTTAAATTAAGATTAAAGGTAAAAACCAAGACATTTTTTCCCCCAAGCAGCTGCTGTTTTATACATGAAACAGTGAGTTGATGTGACTGCTCATTAAGTACAACAGATAGAAATTTAACTCCACTTTATGACTGGTTAGGATAAATAGCATCATTTTATACAGTGAGCAAGATGCAAATCATGCAACTAACAGACATACGGAAAATAAACATTAAGTTACCTGGGGATATTAGAGAAGAAGTTCTATTAAGAGAGGGAAAAAAAGAAAAGAAAGAAACAAAGATGTTCAATTATTTTATATGTTTTCTTGAATATCCCAAGAAAAGGATCAACAAATTACCACCTTAAAAATTATTCAGACAATTCCTGCGCTGCTGAAAATTGCATGAAAGAATATTTTATAAACCGCATAATACCTGAAAATTGCGTGAAAGAAATCCCACCAGCGGCTTGTCCTTTTCATCTTTGCTAATTTTAAAGAGACCAGCCAAAACTTGAAGCCTATTCAACGCTATATACAGAAGTGCACAAGCCTTTGGATCCTTATTTTTCAAATACTGTTGTCTTGCCAGCTTCTCCATCTAAAACAAAATAACCTGTGTCAAAGTTGATAAATGTTGTATACAACAGTACTGTAGTCACTATTTTGCCAATAGAATGACTTTGATTATAATAAATCAATGGTTAAAAAATCCAAGTAAAATGGTAGGCAGATGGAATTCACACCCAGAAAATGCGCACACAAATACATACATACATACATACATATATATATATATATATACACACACACATTTCAAGCACCGGAAAAGCTAATCTCTTCAAACATGAACATTAAATTGAGTTGACCCCAAGTAATTGGATAAAGGCCAGGTTGTTATTGTCGTATTAAATTGTGCTGACACGAGTCCAAGTATTGTTTAACTAGGATAATAACAGATATAAGAAGTAAAAATCAGAAAAAGAACAAAACAAACAGACCTCAACAAAGGTAAAACAAGAAAGAGTGAGTACAGAGAAGCAAATTGAAGTGAAAAAAATAAAATATAAGACGAGGGAGGAAGGAAAACAAAAAATGTTATTCACAGATAAAAGTATTATGAAAAAATGAGAGAAATATACGATCAACGGCAGTGGGGAAACTTTTTTATAAAATAAAGAGAGTAAACGAATCAGCTTCACACTTTACCTTTAAGCGCAATTGTGTTGCATTTGTATACCAAAACCCAAAGCCTATGCTCCGCATTTCTTGCCAAGATGATTCATTATGTAAAAGCGAGCCCAACAAATTTTCTTGACAATCAGAGTGGAAAGCCCATGCAACCAGACCTGAGTCAACAGCCAACTCTCCTGAAAATGCTAATCTACCAAATCTCCGGACAAAATATAGCTGTTTAAACCGCACCGCAACCCAAAACCTTTAGAGAGAGAGAGAAAAAAAAAAATGTGATATCAAATGAAGAACAATAAAATTGGATAAAATAGCAATTAACCAAGAGAGAACAAGAGAGGAGAGAAGAAGAATAAAGGGGAAAAAATTACTGAAATATCAATATATTTAATAATCAATCATAAAAAGGTACCTTAACAATGTTATCAACCCACATATAAATAGGCATCGAGGAAAACCCTAATCAAATCCTAGTAACATAAATAAAACCCTAAAATAATAAATTACTGAAATATCCATAATAATAATAATAATAATAAATAATAAAAATCCCTCAATCTATCTTTCCCACGTCTCCAATAGTAGGTGTGGGCCAAGTGTAATAAAAGCTCTTGGGCAATGCTCGGTACTTCATCAACAAATCTTTGGTGGACAAAGATTTGAATCCTTGTTGGGCAAAGAATGCAACTACTTGAGGCTCAAGGACAATTACTTTCGGCCCATGTCTAACAAGACATTCCTACACCAATTACAACTCAAAGACCAATCTAATAACAGTTTGATAAATACATGACATTCTATCACCTAAGGTTTTGGTCCTCATACTATCATCTTCAATAGTTACTATGTTGTCCAACAATCAGTTTTACACTTTCCTGTAGGCACTTAATTAAAAAATAAAAAATCCAGTATATAAGATTCTATAGCATTGACCTCTGTAAAATCAAAATGAATCCATTGAAATCATAAACTAGTCCTAAGAGCTTTATGTGAGCAGATCATTAATAAAATGGCAAAAAATTATCTTAAATCCAAAGGGCCTACATAGTCAGAGGTACCTTCGACCAGGTTCATCAAGGCTTCCATAAACAGAAGTGGAGTGCGGGTTACTAATATCATGGAGAAGATCAATAACAGCAAGAACTTGCATCTTTTCTGTGTTGGTAATAGCTGCAAAATCATACAACTTCTCAATTGGTTCAACAAAGTCTTGAAGTTCAGATTTTGTTGAAGATGAAGTGAATGCATTGTCGGATCCCCAACTGTATGCAGAATGAGTAGAGCCTTTCTGAAGCTGTGAAGATGATGAAATTAAAGAGGCATCTTCACCCCATTGAAATGCCTTGTCACTTGAACTTGTTGAAAGAAATCCTTCAAGATAATTTGACAAGTGAACTGGCGAAATGATGTGGCCAGAACTTGCAGAGCGATATCTTTTTACAAAAGCATTACTAGAAGTAAGATATTCAACAAGATGCTGTAGAGCTACATATGCACGTTTCCAATAGCCTGAGCACAATTGAATTTATGGTGAAAGTTAACATCTGGTCAAGATATAACAACAATCACAAGCTCATGTGAAATGAATTTATGAACAGTTTAAAATCAACATGCGGTAATATAGAACTAAAATCTAGTCACCTTTCTGGTATTAACATGATAAATAAGAACCTCTAACGCTTCAGGAAGCAAAATGGAAAACAATGGAAAAGATTGTATTTGGTGATGAACCTCAAATGTTTCTAGAAATTGGAAACTTGTGTTTTAGATGAAGCAAAAGTTTATTGCCCATGAAGCCAAAAAAAATGTTTATTTACTCTTCAAAAGAAAAGGAAAGTGTAACCATCTTCTACCAGCAGACCACATCCTTCATCACCACCACTATTTCCACCATCTCCTCCACCAATCCACAATCTTCACAACCACTAATCACCAACACCACCACTTTACCTTTACTTATTTTTTTTCGGTTAAATATTTTTGTAGAAGACCTATTTTTAGTAGAATAATGTGCAGAAGATTTATCCAAACACACTTTTGAGGATCAGTTTTCGAATTTAAAGTACAATATATATATATATATATATATATATATATATATATATATATATATATATATATGTTCAAAAGTACTTTCAATAGGCATAATTTCTTATTTTTCTTAAGATGAAACCTGTAATTCGAACCAGAGCATGTGCTCTCAAGTGTGCAAATTATGTACCATCTATGAAAGCACTCGAGTACCCCATACAATGCTAATCCAAAGTTGGTTTTATGGTGGGTTTAGGTAATGGAAAGATTTTAAGTTTATGAACTTCAAAGGTAGAAAAAAATGTATAGGATAATAGGATACATAGACAAAACAAGTAGGAACCAGTTTAAGTTTCATAGTGACTGGTTGCTGGAATTTCAGAAAAGTAGCTGCCAGAAATTCTGGACAAAATATTAATCATCATCATCCTTACCTCAATCCCATATGAATAGGGGCAGTTACATAATTTTCATTTTTCCATTCTTTTCTACTACAAAGTATCTCTCCTATAATATTTAACTTTAAACGCCATTTTTCATAACTTCATCTCATGTTAATTTGGGTCACCCTCTGACTCTTACCCTTAGTCTTCCCCTTCTTACAAGTGCATCTATATGTCTTCTTTGTATGCATCCATACCACATAAGTCTATTTTCTCTTATTTTATCGCTAATAAGCGCCACTTTAAATTACTCTCACACACTTTGATTAGAAACCAATCTTTTCTAGTCACTCCTACCACCCATCTAACATCCTCATTTCAGCTAAATGAATTCATTGTTTTTATTTCTTTTTTAAGACCAACACTTTGCTCCATATAAGATAGTTGGTCTAATAACCAATCTATAAAATTTTACTAACCTTTTTTATTATTCTTTTACCACATAAAACACACTACCTTACTCCATTTTGTCCAACCTGATCCAATTCCACTAATTATTTCACCATCTATCTCATAATTCTTATGTATTACATCTTAAGTATTGGAAATGATTATTTTGGATCCTTTGGTTTTGAAATGTGATCATTATATTATCAATATCCCTTTGATTCTAATGCATTTCTCCACAAATCTAATTTTGTTGCTAAATTTCCTTTAGAAATATCCAATAGCACTATAACAACAAGCACAATGGCATGTCTCCTTGTAAGTCTTTCGTGATTTCATCTACAATTTTTTTTTGATAAATATGGGCTTAGTGCTTGATCCTTGGTACAATCCTATTTATATATATATATATATATATATATATATATATATATATAAACCCCACTAGTCTCGCAACATATAAAGTGAACACTAGTTTCTGTATTCATATGCATATCCTTAATAATCTTCATCATTTCTGTATGAATTTGTTTTCTTTGTAAAGCTCACCAAATTATGTCCCTCGGTACCCAATCATATGATTTTTCTAAATTTAAGAAAAACATATGTAAATCTTTATGATAAAGGAAACACATGGGCGGATGTTTTAAGGTTTATTTGAGCAAGATATGGTAGAGGCACATAGGCGCATTTGGGAGATTTGAATAGCAACCCCTAAGAACATTACTTGAAGAGAACAAGAAGAATTCTCATCAAAAATTCCTTAGAAAAATCATATGATTGAGTACTGAGGGACATAATTTACAAAGAAGGGGTGCAGCACGAAGACTTCCCAGGGGGTCACCCATCCTAGTACTACTCTCGCCCAAGCACGCTTAACTGTAGTGTTCTGATGGGATCCGGTGCATTACGGTTGGCGCTGGAGGCTTTTTCCCTTGGAAGTCTATTTGGCGATCCAAAGCCCCCCCTCAAGGTGGCCTTCTTTGCGTGAACTTCTGTCTTGGGTAGGATTTTAACCCAGGATAATTTGAGGAGGAGGAACCAGGTGGTGATTAATAGATGTTATTTGTGTTTGCATGATGAGGAGACTGTTGATCACTTTCTGCTGCATTGTAGCATGGCTAGGGGCTGTTGGGACTTGATGATTGGGTTGTTTGGGGTCTCGTGGGTGATGCCTAGCTCCACTAGAGGGTTGATTGAGGCTTGGAGAGGATTTTCAGTGGGGGCTCTCATTCAGGACGCTTGGAGGGCTACGCCTCTTTGTGTTTGGTGGTGCATTTGGCTTGAGAGAAATAGGAGATACTTCAATGGAAAGGAAAAGCCTATCTCTATGCTTAAGTTCTCTATTCTTTCCACTCTTTTTTGTTGGGTTTCAGGGAGGGATTTTCGATCTGTAGAGGAGTTGGTTGTTTTTTTGGCCTCTTTGAAGGCTTGAGGCACTTTGGCCTTGTTTTTTGTACTTGGGCCCCGCTCCCCTTTTGAGCGGTTCTTCAATAAAATTTACTTATCAAAAAAAATATATATATTCCTTAGGAGTCAGTCACTAAGGTATTATATATCACAACTCACACTTTTTCTAGTGAATATAAAGATTACATGGATATATATAGGTTGTTGGACTTCTCTTACTCTTCCTAACTTCTCAAGTATGTAGTTTCGCCATCAGCTGTTAGCATGAGTAGGAGGGGCATGGTTCAAGTTCCTGTTAAGACATAGGTATTATATATGGTTAAGTGCGGTAAACCCCTGAACTTTGCTGGAAGAAGCAAGAAACGCACCTAAACCTTTTCTTTTGGCTGATAACCCCTTATAGTATCATGATTCTTGCAAAGAGACCCCTTACATCAATGCGGCATCTAAAACCTAACGGTTGTGGGTGTCAGGTGAGATATTTAAGAGCAGTAAACCCCCCTAATCTATTCCCGAAAATGCACTAAACCCCCAGAAATTTATATTTGGCAACCCCTTTTAATTCTTGGGAGTTCACAGCAACTAAGTAGGGGTTCTTTTTTAAACTAGCAAATAGTTCAGTGGGTTTACTACAATTCACCCTTTTTTCAAAGGGAAAAATAGTCATTTTACCTTACAGTTAATGGCAACTTAACATCATGACCTTTTTTGCAAGTTTGCTATTATATAGGGGGTTACTTGAAGCATCAGGGAGTTCTCTCTAACTCGCGAGAAGTTCAGGAAGGTTTAGTGCACCTTATTAAACAATATGACCAAACCTCTAAACAACATAAATTAATCTTAAATAAGACCCATGCACGCCTACTATATCCCATATCCAGCAATTCTAAAATAATTATTGAAATATTGTTGACTTGTTAAATTAAGAATACACAAACAAAATCATAGTAGCAGCATACTCAACTCAATAAAGCCTTTTCCCAACTCCTTGGGGTCGATTAAATAAGTCCAACTTTTCCATTCTACTCTAAGGCCAAAGCCCCAAAGCATCATAATCGATTCAGATGCAGTCAATGTGGATCACCAACTGCCCTGTTTGATAATGTCTTCTTAAAAGATTAAATGCATTAACTTGGTTTTACAAGCATAGAGGAAGCATTTAATTTTCACCAAATAAAAAATATATATATAGAACAAAAGCTGCGCCTCCATGAATGACTGGTAGTCATTAGAAAACATTGGCGGATCAAAACAAAGACTATAGCTATGACAATTAATTTTTGTTAATAGGCAGAGCTGCTTCAATTTTTATAATCAATATATTCAGTAAATTCTTATCAAGAACAAAAGGAACACAAAAAAATACAATAAAATAAAATAAACAGTAAGCCACTGAAAACTGAAAAAGAAATACATAATTCATACATCTACAAAAAGGTGACCTGCTCCTCCCATGATAATGGAATTACTAATATCTATCAAGCATAGTCTTGATGTTTAAAACCAAAGAGGAAACGACATCAGCAATTCTTTCATAGATATAGGCATGAGTTTCAAGACGTAGCCACCAGATTTATTCTAGATGTGTTCACATTTAAAGTACAAATTACTTCTAGAATGCTAGAAATTCCTTCAAATGATGGACCCAGGAATTTTTAGTTGCAGAGGCGGAATTAGTAGCATGAAAATAAATTTGAAAAAATTATCAAGTCCAATAATTTTCTTCGCAACATAATTTTGGAAAGTAGATCTAAGAATATTTTTTATAGATTAAAAGTATTCCATAACTCACTAAATGCATAAAAAAAGAAAAATAATATGGACAGAGGTTATATTTGGATTATTGAAATTTCCTTCCAAAAGTGGAGTTCCAAAAATAAGAACTAAATGATTCATGTGGAGATTCCTCAAAATTTTTTGGGCGGGCAACATAATAAATCTTTTGGATATTTTGAAACTCACTATATAAAGGTTCGTATTTTTTAGGACCAAACATTTTGGGGGAGCCATAGTCTCCACATAGTTTCGTCCCCGCTTCCAATAAACATCATTTTTGGAGGGCACCCTTCCTTGTAATGCAGAAACCTCTGCATTAATGCAAAGAACAGAGTGTTCCCATAGTAGTACATATTGCCAGTAATAAAACAATTGCAATAAGTCCAACAGGATATAATGTCAAGCTTCTTACGAGTGGTAATCTTATCTTTCTTTTTCTCAGAATTTTAATTTTTCAATTAGATTTCTGAATCTTGAAGTTGATGTGATATTTTAAAAAATAAATGGTCAACTGACTTGTAATACCTGAACAAATATTCATCAGGAGTGCCTCAGGGTGATAAACAGGGAGAGCTCCACATAACTTTTCAAGTACGTCTGACACTCTCCAGAAACCAGAAGCAATAGCCAGATTATTCTTCTGTTGCACACTTGCTATGAAAATGCTTGATAGAATATCATTTTTTATATTCATTTTCATACGAGGCCTGGACCAGCATTGTTTACCAATGTCTTCCGTTGATGATCTTTTGAGATCACAAATCTCACAATCAGTGAAAATTGCAGTAAGCATATGGTTATCTGATCCACCATTGCAATCAAGAGGCTTTCCCTTGCTAATTTTCAAGTTGCAGTTAGTTTGGTGTTCCTTATCGCCCAAAAATATCCATTCACTAAAGAGACAAAAGTAATCATCATAAACAACCACAGCAGTCATTCTAGGGCCCCAAAGGAAATCACGGATGGGAGGGTAGGAATGAGCAAATGCAATGCAAAACCAAATATTTCTTTCTGAAAGTTTTCCCTGTTCATGTTCCAGAAGAGACTGACCACCACAGCGTCTTTGAGCATATACCTTCAATTCATTTTGCAAGCAAACCCCAAGTAACAGCTGACCATTCCCCATAGTCAACCAATTTAAAGTAATAAAATCTCCATCAAGAGATAATGTATCTTCTAGTATAAAACTGCCTGCAACTGTGAGGTGCACACAGTTCCATATATTAAGAGTGGTAAATTTTTTTGAATGACCTGTCGGGCAGACAGTTGCAATCTTTTGACCACAATCAGAAAATGAAATTGCAATGATGGGGCCTTGATGAGCGGCAAGCTTGCCCACAAGCTCCCACTGTGAGTTTGAGCTTGGTGGTTTTGCTGGCAAACTTCTCCATAGTTTTAAACTACCATTAGTGCAGCCAGTGACCATTTGATATGCAGAATAGTTGCTAGACGAGGCATTAACGGAAATCCACTTTTGTTCTCCAAAGAGAATATAATTATTGGGAGAGATCATGGCAAAACATGTAACCTGATCATGGTTGTGTGGATGTGGTAATACAGACGAGCAAGGATCAATAGCAACACAGTATTTCTTACCACCAAAAATACTTTCAAATTTCCATGTGCTGTTTTCAGCTGTATCTCCAGCGTCAATATTGCATCCACAGCAGCTTCCAGATAAATCATAAGAATGCATGATAATTTTCCATGATAAAGCGTGAAAGCCCTTCTTCCATGCAGCTAGCAGCAAAAAAATATTGGAAACAAAGGTTTTGTTACAGGTCGAAGGCAAAGGAAGTGAACAGATATTGGCAGGCCCAACTTCATAACCATGACTTGTAAAAGGGATGGTGCATAAGTTGTGACATAGCATTTTCTCTTCTTCACTTTTAGAAATCTTAACTATAAAGCAATCAATACCACCGGCATGTCCCATAAGAAGAACAAGGTCTTCATCTAGTACTGCCGGTGCCCAACTCATGCTTGTATATATAGGATAAGAATCCTGAAGTACAAATTTTCCAGAAAGTTTCCAAGAGGGATTCAATGTTGGCAGGCCCATGATGCAATTGGAAATGGTGGAAACTGACCAAAACAGAAGCAATCCATCACTATCCAAAGAAACAACAAGCCCAGCTTCACATATATAAGGATGCACTGCAACTTGTAAAATTTTTCCAGTATGGCCGTCTATGTTCAGTACTCCACCAGCACAACATGACAATAAATTATTCGTCCTGGGTTTATTTAAAGATACATCCACAGAATCAGTTGATGTCTGAGTATAGAAGAGTAACCAACCAAAGGAATTACAAGGCAATAACCGAATTAAAGAGCATGTTGTTGGTGGACTGCAGACTTGATTCCTTGAGATAACAACTTTATTAAGTAGCAAACTTCTGTTTCCCTCTTCGGAATCTTTTAGCTCTTCTCTCTTCCATAAAGTCACTCGTGGGAATCTCATTGGGGCAACATCATCAAGACAGTGGATGGCCCAATAAGTCACAAACATTTTAGGACCAAACCCAATTAACCACTCGCACCAGCCAGCCTTATCATAGTGATTACCTTCTGAAGAAAAATAATGGATATCTCCTTTACCAGTACTGATTAGACCATCACTTTCGATTGCCCATCTTACATATATATCGGAGCCCAGCATTCCATTCAATGCCTGGTTTATCTCAATTACAGCAACAACATGGAAAGACCGCCTTGTTTTCTGATCATTAATGTCCTTGCTGGTTTTTTTAACCCTGCCATCATCAATCTCACTCCATAACCTTACAGTTCCATCTAAGCAGCACGTCAATAACACATGCCTAAGTGAATGTCTATCATCCTTCTTTGATTGTCTTCTTGTTGATGGCCTCCACTGAATCATAGAAACAGGCAGAGGATGGTGTAGCTCAGCTTTCACATATATGGAATTTCTATCACTATAACACACAAACACGCATTTGGTTGCCTCTCTGATCAGTGAAGATGGTCCTTCACCATGCAGTTTACCAAGAGGTGCTGTTGCTGAAGGTTCTTCGATGGACCAGGTAGCAGAAACCAGAGTTTGAGGCAGTTCTGTTTTAAATTTCCATGCTATTTCCCAGGACCTGCCTTTATTCCTCCACAAAACAACATCAATGCCGCCCGATACTATCCCATCCCCTGATCCTGTCCACTTGATGGCTTCTACCTTGGTAGATTGCACAAGCACTGCAGCCTGGCTCCAACAAAAAGAACCTGAATATGACTAAAAAAGTTCAAATTTAAATTATTCAAACAGAGGGTTGGTAGAAGAAAGGGAAATCCAAAGATGTAGTTGACCCCTGTAGCAGATATTCAGGGGTGTGGAAGCCTGTAAATGTGTTGTGTCAAACGCTAAGCATCACCAAAAGATCTTTTTGTAAAGAAAGTTAAAAAATTAAAAAGAATACAAAAAATAAAAGGAACAGAGAGAGAGAGAGAACCATTCAAAACTTTCTTTTAATTATAATGGTCTTTTCAGAAGATAGAAATTTAGAAGTCGGTCTTTTTTCAAATGACCAAACAAATTGAATTGTGCACATATTATATGTACCACATTCATACTCCATGTATCATTGCATATCAGTAGATAAAAGCGAAGATGCGAATGTGATGCACATTATTGATACATGTAAAATATAGCATATATTCTAATTGTGTGTACTTCATATATCAAATTATAGAATACATTATCAAAGAAAATGCGTGAAAGGTTACGATGAAGGAAGAAACATGTCTCAGACTAAAATGGCCTTTGGGCTGAGACGAATACAAAAATTCAACTCAAAGTACATACTGGTCTACGTTACATGGACTTGGGTACAAGTATGTGTGTTAGTGTCGGATTTATGAAATTTCTAAATCCAAGGACAAGGGAATGCGGCTAAATATTAATATTATTTGATATTTTTTCTTTTACTGTCTAAAATAAATTAATGTTTTCACATACTTGAAGCAATAATATAACAAAAAGATCATAATAAGAGTGTTTTACATAAATTGCATAGTAAATTTAAATTATTATATACTTACCACGATCATATTAAGGACACACATTTCATACCGATCATAGTTGTTAAAGGATCAAGGCAAACTAAGGCGCCAACCTGGAGCCTAAGCACAAGGAGCGAGCCTGATTGAAGCAAGGCGCGTGCATATAATAATGCATATTTCAACATATATTATTATATATATTCATAATCAAGCAGTAATTGCAATTAATTGAAGTAGTGAACCATAAATTTATAAATTTTGTCAAATATTTTATAAGGTTAAACAATACGATATCATATAGAACCTTTTAATTTAGTAGTCATTAAGTAAAAAATAAAATGATATGAATAAATGATTAAAAAATACAAGGCACGCCTTTTTTGAGCTTGGAGCTTACTAAAAAGAGCCTGAGGGATTTATGTCAACTTGATTGAAGACGCCTCACTTGTAGTAGGTTGAGGCGCTTTAGCTGAGCCCTGACGAGCCTGGGGCTTTTTTGGAACCTAGGCGCGCCTTTAACAACTACGATGCCCGAGTGTCATGCAACCAACACGGGCACTTCATGCATTTTTTAGTAGTCCATGTAATATAGGTATTTCTTACCACTCTACATTCTGCCCCACTAATTCAACATCTCCTGTATATTACGTACAGCGTTCACCACTGGCTTCACTTACTGTTGGTTCACACGACATGACAAGCACTTGTTATTCGAGTCTCTCCTTAAATTTTCCACATACTGAGCTCACAGTCATACTGATATAGTGATTGTGAGAAACAATCTGCCCCTCATGGACAAAGCACCTGTTGAAGTGAGCAACACTCAGTGGAATAGTCTAACAACAAAGATGATGACTTTGTTGTAAGACTTCGATACATGAGGAGTCCTTCAAAGTATTATTTTGTCCCCACGTGAGAGAACTTATAGCTGAATCATTCACAAGCATAATACATTCCGAGCATACTCAAAATAATACTACAATAGAATAATTTCAATTTACCAATTCAATAAAAAATTCAACCCAGAAAATTAACCTATAAGATTCTAGGTCAGCTTCCATGATACTACATTGGGGAATTCAATTCATATGTACTCGAAGTACACAGTATTCATATGATATTATCAACATATGTACACACTGTGTGTACGCGCAAGCGCTAACAATATGTATTGTTTGGGATTGATTAAGCTTCTATATATTTTTATGATCAATAGAACAATTCCAAATTGAATCTGTACATAGTATAGTCTGAATGTACACCACGTACCACTTGAAGTTGCAGAGTTATGCGAAAACAAGCCGATGCAGTTATCCAATGCGGCAGCAAGATCTCCGAGCGAGGGTGTGGCAGGGGACCAAGCAACTGCCGATACGGCATCCGTACCGTCGGAGGAGAGTTCGATGACTTGGCGAAAAATGGGACCGATTAGGGCTTCTTCTTCGGACAGTGGGGACGGGAAGTGAGAGATCACGAGGAGAGAGGAGGCTGCGTAGGCGATCCATGAGTAGCCGGCGAAGTCCGGCAACCAATCTATGGCGGATTCGGAGCGGGTCGGAGCCGGAGGGATTGTCTCCGATTGGATGAGTTGAAGAGGTAAGTGGTCGGCGAAATTGACGGTGGAGCTTGAGCTCTCTGATTCGATTAGAGTGGACATAGTGGTGTTGGCGGAGTGCTGCTACTTCTTCCTGCCAAAATTAACTCTCCCGTGTAAGTAGAACCGGTTACATAACCGGTGTAGGTAGAACTGGTTACATAACCGGTTGTGACTAGGTGTTACAAGGAGAGACTTGTCCCATATCGAATTCGGATGGGAAGTAATGTGGGTATAAATGGTTGGGTATGTAGTACTATCCAATAGTTCGAGTTTTGGATAAATAGGCAAGCGCCTATCCGTTACAGTTAGTATCAGAGCTAGACCCAGTCCTTGATCTGGTGCCACGCCAAGCGCCCGACCCGAAAGGCGTCTGGGTGAGCCACCCCGGGCAGGCAGGACATTGCGAGTTCGGGTGGGAGAGGATGTTACAAGGGGAGACTTGTCCCACATCGGATCCGGATGGGAAATAACATGGGTATAAATGGGTGGGTATGTAGCACTACCCAACAGTTCGACCTTTTGAATAAATGGGCAAGCGCCCACCCGTTACATTAGGGGTGTGGGACTTGGGCGGCCAAAGTGCCCACTCCAAAGTCCAAACCCAAGGTTCTCAAACCTCGGCCGGTGTCAAGTCTTAACCTGTGTCATATCACACTGGTTTTATTTTTTTGGGTTGAAAATAGTAAAATATATAACTATGTACAATTGACATAAAATATAAGGGACATAAATTAACCAAACAATGTTATTAGAATCTAAAAATTTGTGGGACTTAATAAATTTCATTCTTATTAAAATTTGGAAAGAACCTAAATTTATATTTTTTATTATTTTGTTTCCTTAACTAAAATTCAATTACTATAATTTTTTTTAGCAAGTGTGTCTAAAGTTAGGTGAAAAACCTATTATAAATGCTAAATCATAAAAATTATCTATTTTTCTTGTATTTCGGGTTGCTCGGATTAGTAAAATGTAGTCACAAATCCCGTCCAAAGTAAATTTGGACTTTAATGTTTGAACTCAGTATCGTCCCATAAATACAAGAGCATTGATCACACCCATAAAATTTTCAAATGAGAATCGGGTTGCTAGGGTTAGGCCCACCCAAGTCCCCACCCTAATTGTAACGTAAAACCGGTTGCACTTCATATTTTGATCATTTTTTTTACTCAAACTTGTAGGGCAATTCTTACACGATTTTAAAAACTATTTTTAGACTCTCTAAGTCTATATAAACTATCTTTAATATGTTTAGTTGGAGGGAAGAATTGAGGGGGAATGGATGAAATAAGAGATGAATGAATATTTTCGTATTTGGTTAGAGGGAAGGGAAGAGAGGGAGGAAACAAAAAGGGATGTTTCATCCCTTATTCCTTTATGTTTTTCTATTCGCCCACTTTTGAGGGGAAGAGAGGAGAGAAAGAAGGCATAACTACCTATGAATTGATAATTTACAATTTTAACCTTTTCAAAATTTTTGAAATAAATATCTACCTTTTATATAAAATTATAAAAGAGTATATTGGTAAAAAATAATATAAAAACTCTCCTTCCCTTCCTTCCAACCAAATAAGAAAAAAGTATCACTCCATTCATCATTTCTACTATTCATTCTATTCAATCAAACATAAAATGGGAAAAACACCCTCCCTTCCCTAGGAATATCTCATCCATTTTTCCTCCTATCTCTTCCATCTATTTTTCTATCATTCCAACCAAACAAAGCAAACTCTAAAATTTTTAAGGACTTGAGGATTATTATTTTTCTAATTGAAAGAATTGTTTGAGAGTTTTTTTTTTTTTTTTAATACAAAAAATCACTTTAATTGTGAGCAAAAAAATTCATTGTATTTTATTTCAAACATAATTGAATCGTTTCGCTTGAGACCGCGTTACATATTTCGAGATGAACAAAAATTCCTCGCTAAAAACTCCGATGTCATCTCTCAAATTTTATTTACTTTGCTTGTATTTTGTTATTGCTTTGTTGGTTTAATTTTAAATTTATTTCGATAAAATCAAAATAAGTAATAATTAAATAAATGAACAAATAAAATCTGTTCATTATATTAAAAATTATTTTTTAAATTAAATTTCATATCGATTCCGCGCAACTTACAAATGTAAATGATGGTGACATGATATATAATGGTTGTCCACCAAGTATCAGAAAGAACTAACTCTTCATGATTTTTCACAAAACATTCTAACAATTCTAAACTAGGGTAGTGTTAGCCACTTGATTTAGCCCTGTAACAGGTAGCCTCCTAGTTACCGTGGGGTGATTTAAAATCAGTTGCATTGGAGCTGTTGAAGTTATGTAGGAAGAATATATATATATATATATATATATATATATATATATAAAAGTGAATTCAATTTTAATTTTTTATATATATTTTAAAATAATTTTTTTAATTTACAAAAATATTATACGACACGTTTCACGTTTCCTTTTTACACACTGTTTGTGTTTTCTTTCTTTCTTCTTTTTTTCTGAAAAAGTCGACGTTTTCTTTTTCTAAAAGGTATCAACAATTAAGATGTCTTTCTTTTTACACATCGTTTTTGTTTTCTTTCTTTCTTCTTTTTCCTAAAGAGACAACGCTTCCTTTTTTAAAAGGCATCAACAGTTAAGACGCCCTTTCTAATTTTATATTTAAAAGAGACGTCTATTGTGAAAGGTTGTTTGTCGCTTATATATGATCTCAAAAAAAAAAAAAAAAAAATTCTTTCATACTATCTTCTTCTCGATCTGCAAAAACTTTTTTTTCATTTCCAGGCCAACATTGTAAGTACACTATACTTCTTAAATAAATTATATATTTAGGTTACAACTCTTCTCTCCTCTAAAAACTCTTTTTTTTGTCTCTGTATTTTTTATATTTATTTATATTTTCTTCTATATCACATTATTATTGAAATATTTTAGAGTTTTTTTTACATATAACTTTTATTCAATATACGTAATTATTACATGAAAGAGTTTCTTTATAAAACTATTTCTATCCTTCTATGTATATACATTTTTGTCGTTGCTTCTCAATAAGTTAAAAACACTGCCAAATATAGTCAATGTTGCGATTTTTTATTTATAGATAAATATAATTTTAATGTTTCTAATTATTTGTAATTTTTTTTTATTTTGAAGTATCGTACCAGGAGTGTTTAATTTAAAATACAACTGTTAGAGTGACGTGACAGATATCATAAAACCACAATTAAAATAAATGTTTCAATTGAAAAAGGTCCCTAACTCAATATTTGGGTGTTCATAATTGATCAATTTTATAAATGACCTATCAAATAACAAAAAAACACATGTAAAATAACTAAAATTATAATTAAAACATTAATAAAATAGTCAAAACTAAATGGACTTTGATAGAGAAAAAAACAAGATATATTATAATTGTGATGAGTTGTGTATTTTAGAATTTTTTTTTAAAATAAGATATATTTGTGTAATGTATAATGTTATACTAAAATTTTGAATTCATGGAATATGGTAAGGGAAGGTGGGGTTCCCATTTTTTTTAGAAGTATGAAATCTTATTTGCTATTCAATTTGAATTTTTCTTCTTCTTTGGTCTGTCACATGTCTTAATATGAGTGGGAGTATTGCTGCAATGTTTTTGTGATAATAATAATAATAAAAATAATAATAATAATTTCCATCCAACTTTTTTTTAGTTAAGTCACACTTGGTACTCATTTGTCCCAATTGGCATATTGCACATGTTCCTTGCATCATTTATGTGGTAGATCCACGTATTAATAAATTCTTCAAACTACACATAATAAGTACTCTTAATAAAGGTAGTGATATATGATAATTATATTATGCAATATTAAGATTTTACATAGTTATTGATAAACACTATTTGTACTTACTGTTATCTTTTTAGATATGTATGTTTTCTTTAGTAATTCATTCATTCTTTATTATAATGTGTTTCGAATGTTTTCTTTATTAGCAACGGTTTAGTGGCATCAACACAAACAAACCAAGAAAAACTTCTTAGTTAAATAAAAAATTTATTCTCTTCTAAAGCTTTGGGCATTTGATATTTATATCTAAAACCTTGGAATTTATGCTATGGGCTTTTTATGATGTCTAAGATCATATTTTGGATACTGAACTTTTTCCTCTATAAATTTCTATGTATTTTTTTCACTATACTGATCAAAAAATTTCTATGCATTTTTTTTCTTTCTCATGTATCAATAATCATATACCGACTCTCTTTATCACTTCAAAGTTTTATTTTTTAATATTTTAATAATTAGATAGAAAGATGATTAAGACCCTCATATAAATCATGTTATTAGTTATGTGACTTTTTAAAATTCTTTATATTAATAATTATCACCCAAAAAATTAATAATAATTCTAATTAAATTATTTTCTATTTGTGTACAATTTTATTAATTAAATATTAACTTAAATAAGTTAATAAAAAATAATTAAAGAGATTTTAAATTTACATTATTGTTATTAATAAGTTTAATCTGAAACAACACATCAATTATTGAAGGACACAAACGTTTATATAAATGACACAACCTTTCACAAAGGACAAATATGTCGGATAAAATAGTAAAATAATAGTTGTCCAACATAATCAATACAACAACTAAAACTAAATGATCATGAAGTAAATAACAAGATTAATGTAAATATTAACAAAGGAGAAATTAGAAAAAGTCGCATCACCATTCAGTAAAAATGAACCAAAAAAATTTAAATACCAATTAAAAACGATTTTTCTGCAAAAGGAGTCATTGTGATAAAAAAATATTATTAGTTAGTTAATATTCCGTGATAAAAAATATTTTCTTTTTTCATTTTTTGGTTTGGAAGATTCAAAATTAAAGTTAATTTTATTTTATTTTGAGATAAAATAATATATAAAATATAATTATTTATCTAATATAAATTTTTATTTACGTGCATTGCGCGTGTCCATTTTCTAATATATATATATATATATATAGCCACCACCTTCCCCTTCCCCTTCCCCACAAGTAAATGATACAGTAGAAGGTAATTAAGCTTGTCAATTGATTGAATGTTTTACACAAAATCATTTTGGATCTTATTGCGCATAT